GGCTTTCTCTGAATAATCGGAATTCTAAAGGAACGTTCCGTAACGTCGCGCTTCACCTCGGTTTCGCGGCGATTCCCTCTTTCCCCTCCCTAAGTGGTAACTTGAAACGAAACGCGCGATTTCCGCGTTTACGTTTTTTTCCCCAATTTTCCCCTGGCGAACGAAACGTCTACTGTGTTCTAGGCGGTATATTTTGCGATTTTGTCAATTCCTTTGTGTACGGGTGCGCTCACAACTGAGACCGCACAACTGAGTCCCTTTTTCTTTTGTCCTTTGTTTCCTTCTTCCTCCTATCGAGACCACCACCATCACTCGAGCCTGAAGTTACCCCGAAAGTCTATTGTTTCGAGCGGCGCGGGGAGTAAGAGGACAAAGATTAAGACAACTACGGGTGCATCCCGACTATTCTTCCGCATTTGCGCGAGATGTATACTTTCTCGGAATAGCTAACAATAAGTGATGTTTCTATACCTAAGTCGGAAGCGTCGCAATGAATTCTCAAAAGTGTCAACGTCCCTCCGTGGATCTTGCATTCGAAAGTTTCGGCGAAAGACATGGTTAGTCAAGCAACAATTTCATATTTCAATAGTTTTCTCGAAGCTCGCTTTCTTTGTACGATCGTTGTTATTAAGATCGCATCGACGCTCAATGCAGCCTAGTATATTTCTAAATTCTGTCATATAAACGAATTATTTATTTTGTAACTCGATCCTTCGTCGCGTGATGAGGCTACTGAAATCTTTCTCCATGTAAATTGTCTTTATCCGATATAAGAGGAAAAATTCAATAAATCAAGGTTGTAAAAACACCAACTATCTAGGCTAATTATTCTATTGGTATAATATTTATACTTTTTCCGATGCACGGAACATCTAAATCTGAGAAATATTTCCATGTGAATCCGAGAGTGATGAATTCAGTTAGAAGTATAATTGCAACGACCTGCTTCTTCAGATTCTCTCAAGGACCGAAATTCTACGCAGACATACACGATACGTATTGAATAATTCAGTGCTAATATTCGCAAAACTAAAGAAAAAGCAAGTAACGAATAGCCACACCACGTGAAATCGTTAAATTTCGAAATTAATCTCAGTCTAAGTTTTGCCGTTCTAAGACCATTTATAGAATGCCAGAATGAATATATAAAGGTTTTAAGAAATTCAGTTGGAAAATAGAGGACAGCCGTAGGAAAGCTATACAAATTTTTATTGTTTGAATCGGTTTTTTGTTTTGTCATCGGAATAGTGCTTCTTTTCTTTGCGTTACATCCGGTTCTAGAAAATTCCAGTAGGCAGGTAGACATGTCAGGCCTACCGCGTGCCATCGTTCCGGTGTGGGCGCCCGCGTGTAGAAGAGACCTTCACGGCTTCGAATTGGCACGGGGACGAAATGATGAAGGTCCGACGACGGCGAGCGCGGCAACGATAAACGAGGATTCTGACGAAGGATTCAGACGTCCCGCGGAGAAGACCGAAAGGGCCGGGCGGCGCGGTAGCGAGAAAAAGTAACGCAAGAGGAAGAAAGAGGGGGAGTATATCGCGACAGGGTTCCGGGTGGAGGAATGAGGCGGCGGATATAGCGTGGAAAAAAGGAGACGAGCGTGCGCGCTTACGGAAGAGAGCATCGGCTTGAACGGCGTGAGAGGTAGCGTGGCCTGCGTGGCGTGACTCGGCTCGGCTCGGATCGGCTTGGCGCGGCTTGGCGCGGCTTGGCGCGGCTTGGCGCGGCGCAGCGTGGCGGTCGGAGTCAGGCTAGAGAGACGAGAATTGAGCGAGAGGTGTCCGTGTCGAGAGCCGAGTCACGCTAGAGCGACGAGGACGACGGAGAGGCATAGAGAGCATGACGATCGGAGAGACGGATAGCGGGGTAAAGTCGGGCTAGTGCGGGCGCCCGAGCGAGACCGAGCCGTGCCGAGGAAGGCAGGCAGGCAGACAGGCAGAGCCGTTGGCGCAGTAACGCGCTCCTATAGATGGGCCTGCTTGCTGCTTGCCTTCCTCTGCCTGCTTGCCTGCTTGCCTGCCTTGCTCGTTGCCCTTCCTCCCCCAACATCCCGCACCCGACCGACCGACCGACCGACCGACCGACTGTTCGTCCGACAGCCCGACTCCGACTCTATCCGTGTGAATGCACGTTTGTGTTCGCCGCGCCTCTTCGTGCGGTGCCTCTATCGGTGGCGAGTACACGCGAGCGCCCCGGCCTTCGGCATGTGTGCGCCGTGCGCATGTAACACGTTTGTGTGCGCGCGTGTGTTAGATGGGGGTCCCGGCCCGGCTCGGCGCTCTCGGCCCGTCCCGTCCCGTTCCGTAGAGTATCGCGCCGCGTCGCGCCGCTCGCCACCCGCTATCCACAGCAGTTTCAGCCAGCCCGCCCGCCCGACTGACTGCCAGTGTCCCACCGCACGCCGAACCGTTTGCACTCAGAAGCGATCAGGGAGCCCTTCTCTGCCTCCCTACCGACCACCCCGCTCGTCGGCATCCCACTACGCCCTTTCTCCTCACCCACGGTCGCCCTTCCTCGTCTCCCTCACTGTCGCTCCGATTCCGTCTCTCTTTTTCTCTAGCTTTACACACACACGCGCGCACTCACACATACACACACATACACACGCGCGCACGCGCGCGCGCACAAGTAGTCCTGAAATTTACTCCCTCTCCGTCTGTAGCGCGCGGCGTTTCTTCGCATCCCACTCTATCCCATCGAGACCTCTCCTTGCCCTCCTCAGCCAGTCGAGTTACACTCAGCGAACGCACAAGCACCGGCTATCGCTCTCTCCGTCGCCTATCTCCGCCAGCTCGTTTTCCGTCCCGTTTTTCACCCTCTTGCGTCCCATCCTACTATCCCTCTCACTCCAACGTGTTTAGCCTCCCGTCTGATCCCTCTTTCACTCTACTCCCTCCACGTTCCACTCGCAACTCGACTGTCCTCGTCTCGCCACCGCACTCAACCATTCTACCTCTCCGTTTTCGACTCCTCTCTCGTCTGTCGGTCTCGCTTCTCCCTCTCGCTCTCGGGAGTAACGCCGGTGTGTACTCCCGCTGTCACCTGATCGCGGGACGCTTTTCGCGGGTGAGATACCGCTCGGCCACCGAGTCAACCCAGTCTGTTGGCGCTCGCTCTTGCTCCGATTCTTCCTTTTCGCTATCTTTCTCTCTCTCTCTCTCCCTCCCTCTTTTCCTCCCTTTATTTTTCTCACTCGTTCTGTCCGTCTGTCCTCATTCTCTCTCTCTCTCTGATCCTCTCGCTCACTCTGCCTTCCACTCCTCCTCTCTCCCCACCCCCGTGCAGCCTTCCTCTACTCTTCCACTGCCGCTCTTTCTCCTGCCGGCCGTCGTCGTCGTGGTCTTCCTTTACTCGCCTCGTTGCCGCGCGACGTCAACATCGTCGGGCTGGTGGTTACCCGGTGGAAGACGAAAGCTGAGAAAAAAAGGAAAGCGAAGCACAGAAGAGTGGCCGCTACCAAGTACTCCGACGGCGCTCGTCCACGCGAGACCGGGTTGCGAGGACGATCTCGCGCCTCTTCTTCCTCCTTTCACGGATCTTCGCCGGCACATCGGAATCATTCGGGGAGAGAGACAGAGAGATAGAGAGGGAGGTGACACTTTCGGACAGACACGCGGCACGGATCTCGCACACTCGGTGGACGCGCGCGGTAGACACGGAAGAGCCGCGTTGCGGATCGGTGACAGTGCCAAGAGATCTCGTTTTTTTTCCCCTCTTTCTCTTTTTTCGATCTCCATCTGGGCTCTTTGTCCCGAAAGCAGTTCCGTGAGTCGAACGCCGGTCTTTGCCCAGTGCGTGAGCGACCATGTGTGTGATCTCGATGTGACAGTGTGAAGACGACGATTCTCAAGTGAGTTCTGATCATTAATTTATAATTGTCAAATTATTCGCGCGAATTTTTTACGTTTTTTCACGATGTTTCAAAGTTACTTTGTCACGACGTTTCGTTTGTCGGGAATTATTCTTTCAACGGTGAGAATGAAACATTGCCGATGAAAGAATTCCCGCTAAATTTAAATTTAGCATATTCACGTGTGATTAGTGAAAAATCTAATGATATAAAAAAATGCTTTTTGCCGCTCTTCATCCATCGAACATCCGTCGGGTCTTCGCGATTGTCGAAATTTAACTCCTTTCTCGTATTAGTGCGTTAAGTGACAAATGATTTTTTAGTTTACGTTAATCAACGTTTTTATTTATTCATCAAATGTAACAATCATTATAGTGAAACTATTTTGAAGTAGGTTGTTTTTGCAACAACTGTATTACACAGATAAGTGTGTACTATGAACTGTCAATCGACCTCCTACGCGTGTTCCGCGTTATCGCCACGTTCTAGAATAAAATTGATATCGAGAAAAATTACGCGAATGCAGCAAATTCTTTGCCAAAGGATGCCGTCGATCGTACGTTCCGTTTTCTAATCTCCTTGCGTGTTGTACTCTCTTCGTTCTCTCGTTCGCGACTTCCACTATCTAGATTGCGCCTAAAATTCCTTTGTTTTTTGGAGGATGTCGACACTTTCCGACGATCGTTGATCGATAGGCGCGAAACAACACGGATCGGGAAGAGCAAATCCGTATTATTTTCCGAGTGAATGTACGGTTCGTTCGTTTCCTCCGTTTCTTCCTTTTTCTCTCACGGAGCTGAAAGAAGACAGCCTTCATGTCGAGGAAGGAAACGACGGAGGAGAGACAGCCGCGTTCGTCCGTTGTGGTGCCCGTTGCGGGCCGGTCGCCACACCCGCCCGTTTGGGAATTCAACTTACTGCCACTTCGGGACTCGAGTGAGGAGAGCGTTCGACGGTTTCTCCGACGGGATCTAACGGGCCGCCCGCACCGTTTTGCGCGCCAGTTTCACGGTGGATGTAAGCGGCTAATTTTTTTCGCGGACGGAGATCGTCGGACGGAGTTAATTTTTTTTCCGTTTTTGCGATCCGATCTGGTGGAAAGAATCATCGCGTTGAAAATACGTCGAGAAATTTGATCGAGTGTTGTTTGTCGCGTTTTAAGCGCGTTACCTCGTGAAATGCCGAGAAAAGTCTCATTATCGGTTTTCGAAGTGTTATGAGAATGCCGCCCTTTCGATCTCACGCGATCGTTGCGTTTAACGTTGATTCTTTTCACCGGTGATTTAATTCCACGTAGGCGGACGATGTGGAAAACACGCACACGGGGGGGTTGGATTGAAAATCCGAAGCACACTTGTTTACGTTGCCTCTGTAATGTGTCATTATCGGTGATGGTTCATCCTGATCCTACATAATACTCTCTTATACAGCTCTTTTCTAAAGAGTTTTGTTAATGCGCGGCATTTGGCTGCTTTGTTCGACGCTTCTGTGCGTTAGTTAGAATGTCATTTCTTGCGATAGAGAACCGCTTTGATGATAAACTTTCATTAATGATTCATTCTACGCAGTATATATTTCATGGACACGGTAATATTTAAGGATCACAACAAAAATTTTTTTGGAAAAATTCTTATATACCTGGGAAAGGTTTAACAATGAGTTTTCATTATCATAGAAATTGGATTGTATTTTATTTCTTAAATTTATGTACCAGGATTTGTTCAGAATCAAAAAAATTGATTGTGTCTTTAAAATCCGTTGCTAGCGGAGGATTAAGATCTTTCTTATATTAGGTTCATCTTTTTTAACTACGGAGCACGTTTATTTATTGAAAAATGATTTGATTCGAAATCGCAAGATCAGGAAAATTATATAACAAAGAACGTACACGCCGTACTTATAAGATTAATCGCGAGAATACATTACCCCTTATCTATAATCCTTCTTAGGCAGTGACCCGATCGGATGTAAAGCAACTAATCAAACTATCTCACGGTAGTCTCGGTAGTCTGATGGATGATCGATAAAAGTAGTTAAGGACGGATATAGCTTCTCACATGGCTCTTACGGTGAACGAGATCGCGACAAGACCGGGATACTTGCGCAGATTTACTTGTATCTCGTGATCCCGTTACGCTGATCCCCTTCAACACTTGAAAATAAAACTCATCACGAAAGGATATTCGGTGAGTCTCGCGCAATTATATATAGACGACATTTAACGTAGGTCGCGCTATTTTGCGAGACTTTGTACCCTTCGTATTAATTATATGCGTCCATTACAATCCTGTCTCGCAAACGTTCACGTGAAATTTCTCGTAAACTAATCGTGCGACGAAAATACGTGTCTATTGATCGTAAATTGTCTCGCCTATCATTACTTTGATTACTTCACTCTGTCTATCGATTCGTGCAGAGTCAAGATTGACATAAGATCTGTTCTTTATTCCTGCACTGTCTGAAACAAATACACATTTACTTTACTTCAACTTATTACATCGTGTGCACCAGTTTGAAGAGTGCAGGAATAAAGAACAGATCTATGTAGTCACGATCGCTGGCTGGAACATGTTCGCGATCGGATTTTTGTTCGAAAATCGAAACCACGTCACGAACTTGGCAATTGAAAAATTTTCATTTATATAAATATTAATATTATAAAGTAAACAACTCGTTTTGCGATAATAAAAAATCTTAATCGGTCGGCTCGCCAAAATAATCGTAAGTGTGTTTTTTAAATGATAAATCGTCCTTTTTTTTTTAATTTTATCAGAAACAAATATTTTTTTCAAAAACGATTGCGTGTGCTTCGAATTTGAACAGTTTTTTAACGACATAAGAAGCGACGATTTTTTCGCCGCGCCGTCTCTACGAGTGACATTTGCGAGGCAAACGTGTTTCTCGATATTGCTTGCTACTTGGAATAAATTAGGTAGAAACATGCTTTCTCTCTTAATACGTGCATACGATATTTCTAATATATAGATCACCGGAAGTGACGTATTCTATGCAGTCCGAGAGATAAAATAAAAACGATCATACATTGAAAATCTTTTTTTTTTTAATTATAAATATCTTTCGTCTGCGTCAGAATTTTGTAAATATATCTGACAAACTTAGAAAATGTGAGAATATTATTGTTTTTTTCATATAAATATAGACGACATCCTAATAAATTAATTTGATATTACGTGTAACAGAGAAGTTGTATACATCGAAGCAAAATTATAAATTTATAAATCTATACTTAAATCCATGAAACGTTGGTGTGAAACGCGTATCTCGCTGGAAGGAAATCATCACTTAATATTTCCTTTAAAATGAAAAAAGTGCCATCTATTTTAAAATGACAAACATTTTTGAATTTTTAGATATACTTGTAGAATTCTGCGGCGAAACAAAAAAAAAATGTTTCGTCAAATTCACGATCGTCTGATTTTATCTCGTTCAAAATTTGACGACTTTATTTCAGAAATAACTCGCATGCGTACACCTTTCCTGGCGGTACTAAGGAAAAAAACATTCGGCTCTTTCCAGTTGAAATAACGGCCGCGAATTCGCCGATCAAGTGGCCGCGAGACACCGTCGTTACGAAACCGATCGGCGCGGGCGGGTGGCACAAGGACGAAGGGGTGGAGAAGGAGGTGGAGCGGCAGGACGGTAGTGTCCTGCGCGGGAAACGGATAACCGAAACTGCCGCGTATGCACGCGTACAACGGGTGGGCGTACGTGGTAATACAGTGGCCATGCGAGCTTGATTACACATTGCGATCACGAGTGTCCCACGAGCGGGCGGACATAAGGCCTTTTGTCGCACTATGGCCTACGGGCAGGAAGCACGTAGCGTGACACCCGGCCGCTCGGTGTGCAAGTGGCACCCACATTATACGCCGAGTAATATGTACACGAAGGGGGAGAGAGAGAGAGAGAGAGAGGTGCGCGCGCAAGAGAGAAGGAGAGAGAGACGCATAAAGCGAGGAGAGCGATATAGCAGGGAGAGACAGAGAGAGAGAGTGAGAGAAGAAGGGAGACGGAGCGACGCGGTAAAGGGGAGGATCAGCGGGGACGGTAGGGGACGCGCTATAATACTCGGTGGTGGTCCCATGCCACTACGTGACTTGTGTGCGGCTCTAAGCCGAGACATATCGCTGTCCCGGGGCCCCGTTTCTGCCACCTAAAGGAGCGCGTGGATATATCGCGCACCGAGGCCATTATACTGGACTACCGTGCCGGATGGAGACGGTTCGATCGGTCTTATTGAATTTGCTCACTCCTTCCTCCCCGGGAGGGGGGGGAATTCGCTCGACTTTGCCAGGTTTGTCTCCCGATTGTTCGTCGCAGAGTTATCTAAGCGCAGTCCACCGCTAACCTAATCAGGTCACCCACTCGCGAATGCAGGCTTTCGCAGTTTTTTCACCTCGTCGGGTTTCCGTCCGAAGAGAAGCGTTCGCGGGTACTAACGTGTTCAACGAAATCGGAACGCGCCGAGGTAACTTAATTTGCGACCTCGTGCTTTAGACGTTTATTAAGTTTCTCTCTCGACACGTTAAAATTCTACTGTTCCCAGAGAAGACCGCAAGATTCTACAGTTACTCGCGAAAATTTCATCCTAAATTCTAGCCTAAACAAGTTTGTAAGTGATAGATTTTTATTATTACGAATGAAGATTTATGTGATATATATTTTCGATTTTATTTAAAATCGGAACATCCTAATGGTTATCGCTTTTTCAAAATTGATATCTTTATTAATATTTAGATTTATTTTGTACACGCGAGTTTTTTTTAAGGACGTATTGTATATAAGTAATTAAAAACAATGAAAAAATTATGAAATATTATAAAAAGTTATAGATTTTTCTGTTGTATTTGAAAGTAAATTTAGAACCTGATCAAAAATTATTTTAATAAAAAGTAGATATAGACATTTAAAAAAAAAATAATTAAGGTAAAATAAGAAAATTTTTATTTAAACTGTAAAATTATACTCTTAAATATATTAAATATTGACTTTATTTATTGAATTGTTTCATATTACAATTCATATAATGTTCATTTTGATACGGAAAGTCCAAATTTCCAATTTCAATTATTTTTCGCAGCGACTATACACCCGATGTATCCTTAATATTATTTTTTCTGATTCTATTAAATATCGCATTACCCCAGTGAGGAAATCATTTTCGTATCTTATTGTTAGTTGAGAGAACGCCCTCTTTTAAAAATAAAGAGCACAAATGTTCCACGGTACGTACTATAACTTTGTTTCCCTTTGGTCTCTTCCTATTGATTCCGTCTACGAGCTCGTGAACCGGCAGCGTGGGTTAAATGCGACCGCGATAGTTAATAGGTGCTTAATCGAGCCGTTAATTAAGGCGCTCCGGGATCGTGGCTCTCGAAATAAACCTTTTCGCACGTTCGCGCGATCGTATCTCCGCATTAGGACAATGTCGGTTATCTGACGATGGTATCATCGTGACTTTTCGACCGTATCCTGTCTTCCATTTCGCTCGTCCCTCTCTCTCTCTCTCTCTCTCTCTCTCTCTCTCTCTCTCTTCTTCTCTCTCTTTCTGGCTCACTATCAATTGAAGGAAAACGTCGACATTTTTATAAATTAACGATAATAAATTAAAGAATTTCTCGTCCCTCTCTCTCTCTCTCTCTCTCTCTCTCTCTCTCTCTCTCTCTCTTCTTCCCTCTCTTTCTGGCTCACCATCAATTGACGGAAATCGCGTACATCGCGGCCCGGCCATTATGCAAGCTACCGCGCTAGACGCTTCGATCGGCCTCATTGAATTAGTTTCCGCCAGCGGGCTTGTTTCTCGATTGTCTGGCGTAAACCGCAGAGGTTTGCCATTTTACTCGGTCAACCAGTCGGCTCGCTGATTGACATTCCCGAAGGTGATAATCGCGAAAATAAGAAATCCGTCCCAATGCCAGTTCATCGCGTGACTCTCTCGCCGAGGCATATCAAGCTGAAGTATTTAAGAATATATCTTGGCTTTATTGATATTATAATAATTAGCTTTTATCATGGACATGATGAGCATCTTATTATTTCCTATCAGTTTTATATTGTTTCTTCGCGATATCGGACTAATCTTTTTTTATATTTGATAATTATTGAAATCGTATTAAAATTATTATGTAATAGATAAATTAAATGTTTTTATATACATTTCATTTATTTATATAATTTCTGATTATAAATTGAAGTGTACTTTATCAATCGGTCAAAAAAATACTGATCATTTCGATTACTTCGCAAACTGTTATCTTACAAGCTATTTTTATGTAAAAAGATGGAAAATTCAACTCTTTATCTTGTTTCTTCCGCTATCTTTAAAGTCTTATCTTATATCGAAGCAGTTTATCTCATTTTGCTCAAAATCGTGCTTATTGAATGTCTCCTACGATTTTCAACAATTTGCGTATGAGCATAGTCCAAAATCGGCACCGACAAAATTGGCTATTTCCAACCTCCCAAGATTTCATTTTGATATCCTTTTACCACGGTGGAACGACTCGCCGACCCGGTATTTCAAGGATTATTCTGATATTCTGCGATGGGGGCTTTAAGTGTCGCCCTCGAATCGTTAGCCGTTAGTGAACTGCCAAGGTAGACGGACAGTTCGATATCGAGCTTATTGAATTAGCTCCCGCTCTTATAGGTATGCGCCGCGATTGCGGATTGTATCGCTTGACTGCGTTTATCCGTAGTATATATACGTGAACTTCGATACATTTGCGGTGATCTCGAAAACACATCTCACGCCTTGCTACACAAATTTACATTCGGCATATGAGCACAGACGAATCGTTAGTTTTTTCCGATTCTATAGACAAAGCAGGGTGAGATAAAACGTTTGTCGGAGGGTGTGACAGGTTGTCTAGGGTGCCCGATGTGTATCTCAGTGATGGGAGGGAGGGGGGAGGGACGGACAATCGTGCGAAGGGATGGTTTCATTTTTAGATCGTTATATCTCATTATTTTCCGGCTCCGTCGCTACAGCTTTCGCTGCGGGAGATTGAGAGCAATAACCGTTCGATCCTGCATCGGGGTGTTTTTTTTTCTTTTTTCAATGACACGTAATGGTATATTATATTTTAGTTCAATATCGGTTATGTAGATACGGGGCGCAAAAATAGCCCACGCGCGAAAGGAAGGTCGTGGCGACTAACCGGTTTCCCCATGTTTAGTACGTCGTGTAAACTGCTGGCTAATTATGCCAGTGTCGTTGACTATCCTTAATGCCGCTCTTGCGAAAAGTCCCCATTTCTTCATATGCGGTTAGAGTTGAAACGTGATACCCACGAAGAAGCACGAGGCTTCTATCTCAAATGATGTGTACAAGTAAGAGTAATTGATTCTTCCTCTCATAGAAAAGTTCATCCTTTTTGCATAGCATTATAATAATAATGCCTAAATTGTGTTCTTGAAAATTAAAGTTATGAGGTATGTAAGCCGTTTATGTTGAAAGATAGTGTCGGGCAATAACGCGTTTACATATAGATTTTTGTGGGGCCATAGGGAGAAAAAATAATTATATTGAGAAACTCAAGTATGATGAGCAATACTGCAAATTTTGAGTCTAGCAACTAACTTGATTATTCTATATAATTATTTTGATAGTGTAATAAAATTATTTTCAAATCTGTATTTAGTTAAGTGTTTAAATATCGTTCTTTCCGTATAGAGCGTCAAAGGAGCGTTACAGCTTTTAAAAAATAAAGAAATTAGAAATTATTTTATTTGCAATCAATCGCATCTGTAGTACGATTTTGTATTCAAATCATTGAAATAGATAGTGTGTTAACACATATACGTACGCTGCCGTCTTCTTAACAAGATATGATTAATGACATGATTAACGTAATATTTGTCATTAATAAAGTACTATCAATAGTATTTCGTCGGTGTATTTATGATTCTAGTCAGATGTGTGCAAAAAAAAAAGAGTTGTATTTATTATAGAGAAGAGAGGGAAACTAGATTGGGGCTCGAAGATTAAGCCGCTAGGCGCAAATTTTATTACCTGGTTTCGAAACGAAATGGATGCAAAAAATGCAATCCAACCGTACTGATTCCAGCGAAATTTCTTGCTTACGCTGCTCTCAAAATAAATAACCAAGTTCGTTGGTTGTTAACGGGGTTTACGATTCTCCGATATACAAGGAGAGCGCGAAGGAGACGAGAACGATCAAATCTCTTAAAACGGAGGATTTTTCACAGCGAGAATTTTGCCACGTTGCGCGTCTATTATCGGACAGAAGGTGGAAGGCACCGAGAGTCAATTTCCCGAGTGAATTTCTGCTGCGTATTATATCCTCGAGCAGCTATAATCTACCTCTCCCACTGGCGATAGTCTCCACCCACTCGGCTAGTCCATTAGCGGCGCCCTTCGTGCTTAAACGTTTCCGCCACTTAATTGCGCATAGCTAATTCTTCTCGTCACATTTCATCCCTCTTTTGTTTCCAGGGACGCAACATCACCTTGCCGTGGCGTCATCGTCGTTATAAAGAAAAACGTCGAGTCATTTCTTGGGCGATACTTGAATGATAGACCATCGTCGCCGGGAGTGACTTATTGAATCTCGTACGAACGTCGCAGTGTTACGAGTGCTCGTGGATGATCCCTGTAGTGTGATCTTGTATGATCTTGTGATTAAAGTGTGCTGAGTAGGGTCGATGTGTTGGTCGCAGAATAACGGTGAACAGTTCGGTTGCGACACGTAAACACGCACAGTATGGCTAGCGCGATAACGATGGGTCTACGTCGCAGAGCACCGGTGAACAATTCACCGACTCCGTCAAGCCAATCACTGTCCACGACGACTGGAGCGTCGTCGAGCAAGCGCTCGAGAAGCGAGAACAACAACAGCCCGTCCCACGGCAATTTGAACTCGATGAACAACACTCGGGACGAGCCACCGACGAAGAAATCTCGCGGGACTTCGACGAGCGGAGGGAAGAACAGTAGCTGTCCTACTTCCTCGACATCCTCGATCTCAACGACCACGAGTATCTCAACCGACAGCCCGATTTCGAAGAGTCGCGGAACTTCCGTTTCAAGATCAGCTGCACAGACCAAATCATCGTCCACTTCGACGGCTGCCAACACGGCCTCCTCTTCGACGAGCGATATATCGAACAGTTCCGTACTCTCGACTAGCTGGTCGACCACGTCGAACATGTCGGACGTACCATCGTACGCTTCCGTAACCGGGCTGGGCTTGACGGGCGGACAAACGGCCGGTCTGTGCGCCGGAAGCCTCGCCATGCCACCTACTCCGATTCCCTACATGTCGACCACCATGGCGACCTTCGTTGGCAACGCCACAAACCTCGGCAAGAGCTCGTCCGTTTCGTACCTCGACATCTCCAACATGACCGGTGGTTCCTTAGCCGCTTCCGGCGCCGCGAACTCGTTAAACGGCGGATACGCGGCGAGCGGTACCGCCACAGTGGACACAAAGAGCGGAATAGCGATGTCCTATTCGACGATGTCATCACCGAATATGAATGGCAGCGCGTATGGTATGCAAAAGGGACAGGGCCCGAAGGGAGTCGACGGAGCCGCCGCGTCACCAAGGAAATTTCAGAACGACGCCATGTTCAACACTTATCAGCCGTGGGTAATCAAGACGTACGGTGATCTTGCCAAGACTAAGACGATCACCATCAAGAAGTACGCGCGTATTTTGCGGACTTTACGCGGCGAGGAAGTGAACAGCGCCGAAAATAGCAAGTTCCGCTTCTGGGTCAAGAGCAAGGGCTTCCACATCGGTCAGCCGGAAGGCTACGACGCGAAAGCGGCCGACAGGATTATCGGACGTCACGCCGTCACGAATCCGGGCTTGGATCCACCGCTCTACGTACCCACGCAGCTGCCGCACAACAAGGTGAGTACGTCCAAGCGGATTAGTCTGACGGACCTGGCGTCCCGTAAGCTCGAGAGATGTCCCTCGGGTAGAGAGAGTCCATGAACAGCCGAAAGGATTAAGTTAGTGGGCGTCATCATTTGCGGGAGGCATCGAGGTATAATCTCTCACCGATCGAGGAGTCGACGCGATTTAACCGATGAACGAAGCGCGACCGATAAGCTCCGCGTCGGAATGCGTCCCGGTGGACTTTGCTTTTGTCGTTGTTTATTCAGCGTGAAATGTAGGGATCTGGATGAAATTATTTATAGATTTTTCATGCCTTTCAACTTTTCACTTCCAACCACCGGTACTGGCTAAGATTTACATATTAATGCATCGAACGTTTTCTTCCGATTCGTTTCTATTTCTTATATTTTCCAAGCGACGTTTTCAAAGAAGACGATCAAGATAGGTACGGTTACAATAATTTTCCTACACTACGCGTTATAACCGTGTACGGAGAACCGTAATAACACCACCGCAAAACTGTCCTATATTCAGCCCGTAAATTCTACTTTCTTATCCTTATTCCTGGAAAATTGACTTTCGAGCTTCTAGGCACGCGGATTGGTCGTTTTGCACGCGGCAAACCCACTGTGCAGAGAACTTACCGCGGCGGCCCACTGAAACGCGGGGTTTATTGGCCGGTAGGATTTATCTCCATGGCGAGGTGGAAAAACCGCGAGAGAGATCTCGAGCGCGGCATGCTTGAGAAGAGAGAAAAGTAGAGAAAAAAAGAAACAGAGAAAAAGATCTCGTCGTGTGCAGATAAGGCGGATGCTTAATTGCGTCTAATTATGTATATACGCGCATGCGGCAGTGCCTGTGGCTGGCGCCGTTGGCGCCGGTTTTTTCCCCGCCCGCCCTCCGCGGGGGGACGGCGCGCAGTTTCCGGAGCTTTGCCAAACCCGAAGTGAAAGAAGGAAAGAAAGAAAGAGAGAGGAGAAAGAGAGGGGCCGTTTGCCACGGCGCCGTTCGCCTCTTCGGTCGGTAACACTTCCGCGATTTTCTATCCGCGTCTTCTCGCCGTGGAATTCGACAAAACGAAACTCATGAGAGTCCCTCTCTCTTTATTTCTCTTTTTCTACCTCTCTTTCTCTCACCTCGCCCTCAGGCTTCCACGTCTGATACGCTACTTTAAAGCTGTCCGATAACGTGCTAAATTACTCACGGCGAATTCGATTGGATGCACTAGCGCTCTCTCTCTCTCTCTCTCTCTCTCTGTGCTGTAGATTAAAGCCCTGTCGTGCACTATAATGCATCCGAACTTAAAAGTACGATATAAATATCATGATTGACGAAATGCTGAACGCGTACATTCCCTCAAACAATGCGACGGATTGTATCGAGCCTCTTGTGATCTAACTCGTTTTTGTTGTGTACCTTTACGTCGATTTGTATACGATAGCCTTTAACGTGCTCTAGTGCGCACTACCTCATCCAACCAAATTCGCTATTATACAGCACTACGTCATTGTGCACACCCTATCGAGCCTGCGCTGGATATATTCCGGGAATATTCTGCGATTTACTCGCGTTGGAATGTCTTGATTGAACTGGTCATGAGGTTATAGATAATCTCAGTAAACGAAGCAATAATCTAATCTGTAAAATGGATATATTCTCGATGGATGAAATTCAATTGACAGATTGGTCCGATGCATAACCGACACTTTCGAAATATTTATTTAAGGAAATCCAAACTTATTGTGGTAGCTATTATTTTATTTTAACAGCTTACTGTGATTTCTTTGATAATTAAGTATCCCCACGAATATTGTTGAGAACCGCTTGTCGCTAAACGAATTTATTCTCTCTCTCTCTTTCTCTCATCAGTATCGTTTCCTCTAGAGATACAATGCCGTTATCATTCGCATATCTGTGAGAGGTGTAGAATGGTAAGACGCTCTCTCGCAGCGTACACTTTTTCCCAGTTGCTCAATTACATTTCACTTTATCGCGAGAGGCGGACGCTTTCACGGTACTGTCTAACGTAGCGTACGTCACGTAACGCGACCAATCTCACCAATCTCACAAAAATCAGATACCGTATTCTCAAGTAACTCCAATTCACCAGCCCGACATACAGCCTTTGTTTTATTCGGCGCTTCCACGTTCGAAATCAGCCAAATCAGCGAATTTCATTCCTCGAAATGAAGAGTCAAAATTCATTTGACTATTCGTCGAGCATTTGCCATAGTAGACTTTGGAATTCCGATATGAAATTATGATCATTGCTAAAAGGGACGTCATCTATTTTGTCGATTCCTGTGCAACGATATTTCGCGGAAAGAAAATTAAACGTGTAAATATAAGCATTTTTTGCGAGAGAGAGAAATCTGCAAATACACGTTAAATGGGAGAAGGAAATAGCTATCCCAGGTATCCTTTTCTTCAGCTCTTCTAAAATTGCAGCTCTATTAGTTATATATCTTACAGTTGCCGTTTGCGTGGTTTTGACGCGCGCGTCGCGGTGCCGTGGGATTCCGGACGCCCGGGACTCTTTCTCACGGAAAAGGAAGAGCACGGTGGGCGCGCTTAGAATTCCGCCGTTCCGCACGCTCATCCGTTCTGGGTTCGCCATCGATCGGGATTCACAGTTCCGGGTGGTCGGAGCGGAGAGGATCCATCCTCCCCCGTTCATCCCGCTCAACGGCGGCGGCAGCATCCACAGGATTTTGCATGCCTCTGAGATTTCCCATCCTCTTCTCTCTCTCTTCTCTCTCTCTCGCTCGATCGCTCCATTTCCGTCCTTCTCCATGGCGTCCCGCAAAATATCACCCGCTCACGACACTCATTTTTCACGGTTGACCGTCGTCGAGGGCCACGAGATAACAACAGTGGAGAGGAAAGGTTTGCCACCGCGATAACTCTCACAAGAGAGAGAGAGGAGAGCCCTTTCTCCTCTTCTGTTCTCTACTCGGTCCCTCTTGCTCGCTCGTTCGCCTCGAGGGTGGCAGGAGAGTAGGTCTGGCCGGCTAGTCATTAGTCACTTTCCGAAGCAGAGGCACAGACAGGCCGCGGCTCTTCCTCCCGTCCTGCCTGCCTCGCTTCCTCCTGTTCCGCGTTCGCTTGCCATCTATTTCCCTCATTCCCTCTCTCTCTCTCTCTCTCACCATCCTTTCTCGCTGTTTCGTCCCGCACCGTGTACCGTCTACCGGTCGCTCTCCTCTCTTCTTCGTCTCGCTACGTGATTCTGTGCCTTCCTCGTGTCTCACTCGCACCACAGTCTCTACACCGGCCACCCTTCCTTTCCTCCCGCACTCCGCCACCGCTCGCCGACTACGAGACTCCGAGATCCGAAGCGGTATAAGTCTCCCCTCTCGTCGGGCTCCGTCGACTGTGGCTTCGAGACGTTCTCGCTTGCTCCCCTCATGGAGAGAAACGTCGCCGTCGCCGTCGCTGCCGCCGCCGCCGCCACCGCGTTCGTGTTCGCCTCCTCTGCTGGTGCTAAGCCTCTCGCGCGTCTATCTTGATTGAGAGGGAGCGCTTTTCTCTCTCTCTCTCTCTCTCTCCGTTTCGCCATGTCGTTCCGCGTCCTTCTTTCTCGTCGTTACCGAGTCTAGAGAAAGAGAGAGATATAGAAAGCGAACTAACCATGCCTACGGTGAACCGTGCCTGACAAGGAGAGAGAGGTTGTCATTGATCGTCCCGACTGCGGTTTGCGAGCCGCTAAAGGTCCCGTACAAGCACGGGCCCGCCGCAGTGTAAGCTGAAGCCGTGTGTAACCCATACGTGTGTGTATGCGTGAGAACACGTGCGTAAGCGCTCCGTCCGTCGTTCTCGTGCGTGCGGCGGCGGAAATCTTTTTCTTCTTGCGCTACTCGAATTGCAGTGTTATTAGGTTGGCTTGTAGCGATCAGATACGTAATGTGCGTACGGCGAGTTGATATTTTACAAGAATGTTAAAAATGCGACCATCACATTCACGTCTTTCACGCACACACATAGATATTACGATAAAAGACTACGTAAAAAAGAATATCATGTGGATACACATTACTAATATAAAATATTATTTAACTTTTAGAGGGCGGGGATTTGTTTACAAAATTTTACACCTTTTCCTCAGTAATATTTGTTATAAATCGTTATTTCGTTGTATTTCTTGTCTCAAAATATAACACTATTTCTGTCAAAGATTAGAAAAGCTGTTAATTAGAAGAAAACAAAACTAAATGATAGAATTTCGCTAGAAAATGATTAATACATGAAAAAGGATGATTTTCTATATTTAAAAATTAGCTACATATAGATAAAAATAGTGTTGTCCTTGGGTCATCAAAATAATTATGTAGCTCAAACTGGTTATTAAGATCTTTTATCAAAAATCTTTTACTCTTTATGCTTGAGACTTCTACGTATTTTGATGGTTCAACAAAATTATTTTCTGTATCTAGCTAAATTAGACATTACAGCAAAATTGTCCTTTCCGCGTGTAAGTTTGATATCTTATATTCAATGTACAATATAAATTCATAAAGCTATCCTCTCGTAAATGTTATTGAATCACTTTTTATCTCTCTTTATACATCTTTTCTATGATACGAGGATAGCGTTCTCGAACGTACGTTCTCGTACGAACGCAATAATCAAACAACCAAGTTTGCTGCTAAACGGCAAACGTATGATACTGCTGACAACGGTATTTCTCGGGAAAATTGAGAGCGCTCGGTGAGCAGTTTTTAATCAACGCGGCAAGGGAACTGGGACATCCGGCGGGATAGGTCAGATAGGTGGCGACGACGGATAAAGGAAAAAGACGGTCTGTGCGCGCGGAGGTTAACCAAGGCGATAATTCGTCGTTCCGATTTCGGGGGTTTGGCTCGGTTAACCGAAACCGTGGCTTCGAGGGCGTGCGCCGCGACCCTTAGCCAATAAAACAGTTGACCTCCTCGACCGGGAGGCGAAGTAGCAAGGCGGAACGAGTAAAACGACTGGATCCGACGAGGCCCTCTGCATTTTTGGCGATCGCTGCG